GTGTGTATGTGTGTATGTGTGTATGTGTGTATGTGTGTATGTGTGTATGTGTCTATGTGTGTATGTGTGTATGTGTGTATGTGGGTGTGTGGGTGTGTGGGTATATGTGGATAAACAAGAAGTGCTTCATACAGTGAATGGTTCTGACATGTGGGCACAAGATGTCAGATGACATAGTTTGGCACCAGATGTCAGATGACATAGCAGACCACAACACGATGCCATGTGTATATGACCTGTATACTCCCCAGAGCAGTGAAGAAAAATCTGCCCTTACACCGGAAGAACACGACGGTGGGCGTGTACCATATGCCATCACACGGGGTGGACAAGGGCTGGGAGGTCAACAGTGCCAGGTGATACACACTTTCTGTGGGGGTGAGGTGGGTGGGGTGGGGTGGGGGGGTGAGTGAGGGGTCGGGTGGGGGGGTGAGTGAGGGGTTGGGTGGGGGGTGAGTGAGGGGCACATACACACACGGCGTGGACAAGGGCTGGGAGATTAACAGCGCCAGGTGATTCACACTTTCTGTGTGGGGGTGGGGTGGGGTGGAGGGGGTGAGTGAGGGGTCGGGTGGGGGGGGTGAGTGAGGGGTTGGGTGGGGGGTGAGTGAGGGGCACATACACACACGGCGTGGACAAGGGCTGGGAGATTAACAGCGCCAGGTGATTCACACTTTCTGTGTGTGTTTGTGTGTGTGTGTGTGGGGGGGGGGGTGAATGAGGGGGTTTGGGTGAGTGGGGGCAGAAATACACACACATGCACTTTCACGTCACCACATACACATAAACATTCCATTAAAATACAAATATTCGCATGCGCATAGACACACATACATACAAACGTCAAACGTATATATATATATATATATATATATATATATATATATATATATATATATATATATATATATATATCGTCTGTACAGGCGGTTGAGCCTAGGCATGACCAAGGCGAGGCAACATCTTGACGGTCTGAACTCCGCCATATACAACGTGACTAAGGTCACAAAGTTTCATCTTTTTACCTGGATTAGCGTCAGCTTCAGTGAGGAGAAGGTCTTAGCGGTAGGGCTGTCTTCTTGTGGTAGTCATCTAGACAGGGCTGTCTTCTTGTGGTAGTAATCTAGGCAGGGCTGTTTTCTTGTGGCAGTTAGTTGTTTTGAGAGGGGCATCTAGGGTTAGATCTTTAGACAATATGTAAGATGGGGTTGGGTCTCTATCTGTTGGTTATATTAATCACAAAGGAAGTTTATTGTTTGTTGTTTTAAATATAATTTTAATTAGTTAAATATTGACACAAATGTCGTGTATTTAGACAGTGTCACACTGCTGAGACAAATGTCGTGTATTTAGTCATTGCCAGACTACTGACACAAAGTTCGTGTATTTAGACAGTGCCAGAGTACTGACACAAAGTTCGTGTATTTAGACAGTGCCAGAGTACTGACACAAAGTTCGTGTATTTAGACAGTGCCAGAGTACTGACACAAAGTTCGTGTATTTAGACAGTGCCAGAGTACTGACACAAAGTTCGTGTATTTAGACAGTGTCATCCTATTGACACAAATGTCGTATATGTAGACAGTGCTACACTACTGAGACAAATGTCGTGTATTTAGACAGTGTCATCCTATTGACACAATTGTTGTGTATTTAGACAGTGCCAGATTATCTACAACGAGGGGAGAAAGAAGCTTACACACAAGAACAGTCGCCGTTTATAGTCGTCGACTGACATTAGTCACTGTCATCGATTGACATCTGTCGCTGTCATCAACTGACACATGTCGCTGTCATGGACTGATAGCTATCGCAGTCAAATGTTAAAGTCATCTAACGTGTTTTATGTGACAGCTGACACATACAGGTGTCACAAATGTGATCAACTGACACCTGTCAATGTCACAAACTAAAAGGTCTTGTAGGCGAACAAATGGATGCAAGTCAAGAAATATTTCCATGTCAAATAAATTGTGTGATAATAAACTTTGTGAAATAAATGGTGTGAAACATTGTAAAAACATCGTAAAAATGTGTTTGTCAGTGTATTGGAGAGCTAAAAAAAGGTGTATGGAATTAGCCCAATATTGCTTTACTTTAAAATGACGTAATATTTCTTGTAAGGGGGTGGGCAATTTTGTCCTTTGATAAAATGCTTATTTTGTTAACACTTTAGATACTTGGGTTTTGTATCCTTTGATAAAAAGCTTATTTTGTCAACACTTTAGAATACTTGGGTTTTTGGGAATGGACAAGCATACGTGCAAGTAGATCGTAAATAAACTTCCCACTTGTGTCATGAATGGCCAACAGAAATAGGGCCAGCCGTAGACCGTAAAGGGGGGGGGGGGTGGCCACAAAACGGCTTCATAATTAAATAATGTCTAGAAAAACTATACCCAAATCCATGATCGTGGTAACGAATGCCTCTTTCATGTCCCACCAAAACTAATGAGTAGCTGGGATTACCTCCCATCTCATTCCCCTGTTAGATGTATTGGTGGGCTCATATCAGAGAGTACGTTTTACCCATCCTAATTTTATAGCCAGGGTTTCTTTCTGACATTTTTCTCTGTCAAAAACGCGGAGGGGAAGGGTGGGCTTGAAACCATAGGGGTGGGGGGGGGGCACTTAAAATTTCAGTGGGAGGGGGGGAGGCAGGGGTAGTATATAACTTGTGTATATAACTATGTATTTTTCTATTTAATCCAGGGCGGAATGGGCTGTGGGAGGTGGGGATAGAAACAGGGTCACCGAGTGTACTGGCCCACACGGGGTCAGAGTGCAGTGGCCCACACGGGGTCAGAGTGCAGTGGCCCACACGGGGTCAGAGTGCAGTGGACTCTACCCTACTCAATATGGTTAACTGCATAGTCCCCAGAGGCAACCATTTACGTCATGGTTTACTCTTAATAATTTTTTAAATGGTTCTGTTGGGTGCTGGTGTTCTTGTTGGTTCTTGTTATATTTTATAACCGGAGATGTGATTGTTCAATTTACCACTGGTCACTGTATGCTTGACAATGCTAGTTCATTACACAGTACATATTTGTTATTATTACAGCTTTTTACCGAATAAGCAAGTAATTATTTGCTTTAAGCTTTACTTCCTTCATTTTGTTTCCATTTTAAGCATCTATCTCTTTCAAGATTGTTAGCACAACAAAAGTCCAAGAATAAGTAATTTAAATTTCAAAATATTAATTTTTTTCAATACCAAATTTGCATAAAATGTGATATAAATATGTGATATAACCATTAATGAAAACGTTTTAGTTTTAAAAAACCTGTTGTATTCCATATTAACTTTGATACCCAAATTGTTTGACCTTAGGGCAAATATTACAACACAGAATCTTACTAGCCTAGCTCTCACAGTTATACGTGTATGGATAAACCCTAATGTGCTATACGTGTAGTTAGAAGCGCCAAGGCACAGGTTAACAGAGTGGTGTTTGTTGTGGTGAAACTCAGGAGCAGTAACTATTGATAATGTTGTGGTGATAATTTTACTTGAGTTATTCTCCCTTATGAGAAGAACCTGCAAAGGTAAAACAACATAGACACAGAAAATATACAACAGTGGAGACTACCATCGCAACATTACCTTTCTTCTTCTTCTTCGTTCTTAATTATTAGTGTTGAAGGGGATCGAGATTTATCTGCCAGTGGGTTTGAACTCGAGACTTTGTTCGAATTTATCAACCATGAGCTTTTTGCCGACTCGACCACGCCTCCAACACAATTAAGCGTTACGTGTCAACTGGTTATGCGCCATAGAGGCCATTGACTCCGATTTCAGCCTGCTTTTCTTTTTGGATTTGCTTCCATAGCCTTTGTCCAACCAAGAACAAACTGCAAGGCAGCAGTTGTTTAAATTTGGAGTTCTCTCTCCTAGAAGAGTGGCTGTCCCCAGCTAACGAGCCTCATCTGCCCGAGGGTTCGAACTCGAGACTTTTCGGTTTAGCAACCATGAGCTTTTACCGACTCGACCACGCCGACCCCGCAACATTACCGAAAACAGTGTTTCTTCCTGACTGTTTTCTCCGGGAGGGGGGGGGGGGGGCTTTTGAAATTTTCGACGGGGGGGGGGGGGGCGGACACTAGAAAAAGTTTGTTTAGTATATAAAATCCGTCTCGTTCGGGCGATAGGCTTCCCCCCCCCCCCCCCCCCCCCCCCCCGAAGAGTTGCCTGGAAGAAACTCTGACCTAAACTAAATAAGATTATTTTAATATCTTAGCTTCATCGCATTAAAAATCTTGTTATACACTTTCCATACCCATTTTACCTCGTGTTTCCCAACTGTTAGTATATTAAGTCACCCCCCCCCCCTGCCTGGTGTACCACCCTATCCCCCCCTCCCCCTGTCCTCTGCTTCCCCCTGGCAGTCTGCGAAAGACGATCCGTACCATTGATTTCATCCAACCATGTCGCCTTGCTGCATTAAACATGACAGCGATAAAACATTGGATCTTGTCACGTGTCTAGATATAATGTAGGGTTTTCCATTGACAATGCTTAGCAGAGACGTCGCGAGTCGAGGGGGGGGGGGGGGGGGGCTGGTGTATACCGTAACGGGTGACACCATTGTAATAACTTACCTGTCAATCCATGTACTGGGGGTGGAGGTGTATTATATATATATATATATATATATATATATATATAAATTCATATATATATATATGCCTATGTATAGATTTGTTTTCGCGGGGGAGGGGTGACACCATTAGTTTCCGTACCGGGTGACACCCGACCTAGCGACGCCACTGATGCTTAGGAAATCTTCCAAGGACGGATTACCTTAATGACTGTTTTGAGGGCCTCTTCATTAACCCTAAACCAGTGTTTCTTCCAGACTTTTTTCTCCGGGGGGGCACTTGAAATCTTCGGGGGGGCGGTAAACTTTCTTCGGGGGGGCGGACACTGTTAAAAGTATATATTTTCTATATAAATGATATAAATTTCATTTCGTTCGGGGGGGCGGTAAAAAATTTTCGGGGGGGCTTTGCCCCCCCGAAGAGATGCCTGGAAGAAACTCTGCCCTAAACTCGCAACTAACCAGTTCGTTAGACACCAGTAAGTGGTTTATTTAAGCCTAACGATAACCTACGCCCCTAACCCCCGTCACTAGATTCAACACAGGCACTGTAGTCTAGATGTAAGCCTAACGATAACCTACGCCCCTAACCCACAGCCCCACCACTAGATTCAACACCGGCACTCTAGTCTAGATGTAAGCCTAACGATAGGAATCTCAGGTGTCTGAACTTAACAGTCGACTAACCATGAAGGTCAAGGTTGATTACATCACGGCTTCCGGTACTGTACTGAAGTATTTAAGATTCAGCCTTGTCTTTTAGAGGCCTTACATGTGCTCAGGTATTATCCACGATTCTCGAGTTTGTGATTAGCCAGGATTCTTTATAAGTTGTACACGTTTTGTTCTATGAATTCTATTGTTAGCCAGGATTCTTTGTAAGTTGAACACGTTTTGTTCTATCAATTTTATTGTTTCAAATGGCCAGATTTTGTTTTAATTTTTCTTGTGGGTTGTGTGTGTGTATGTATGTGTGTTTTTGTGTGTGTATGTATGCGTGTGTATGTGTGTGTGTTTGCATGGCTGAAGAAGCTAGGAGTCACACTTTTTTATAAAGCAGAAACGGGGTATCACGGCTTAATGATGATGACGTCACAAGGTGAAAATTAAGCAAACGACTGCTAGTACTTAAGTACGACGTTCTAAAGTTAAAAGTGGTTAGAATAGATTTTGTTGAATTATCACCCTCATGTCCGAAAGGTTTTTTTTTTACTTTAGCATTAATGACCATTTCGTATAAATCAATATATTTTTGGTAAAATATTCTTGAATTTTGAATTCTGATTGATTTCTTTTCTACTTTATTTGAGGTTTCAACGAGATTTAGAGAACAAACAATTGAATTAAGTTTGTTGGAAGAATTTTTTAGGTCATGCAACTTCATGCTAAAAGTAGTACAACAGCCTTTTACTATTCATCTGTTTATAAATTATGTTTGTATGTTTGTGTATGTATGTATATCAGTGTGTGTATAATGTGAGTGTACCACTGTGTATATGTGTTCGTATGTGCATATGTACATGTATGTAGGTATGTGTGTGTGTGTGTGTGTTTGTGTAGTATTCGAAAAAATCATTGTTCTGTTGATTCAATGAACTAGTGGTGGCATGTTTTATTGATCCCATGAACTAGTGGTGGCATGTTTTATTGATCCCATGAACTAGTGGTGGCATGTTTTATTGATCCCATGAACTAGTGGTGGCATGTTTTATTGATCCCATGAACTAGTGGTGGCATGTTTTATTGATCCCATGAACTAGTGGTGGCATGTTTTATTGATCCCATGAACTAGTGGTGGCATGTTTTATTGATCCCATGAACTAGTGGTGACATGTGTTGATCCCATGAACTAGTGGTGGCATGTTTTATTGATCCCATGAACTAGTAGTGACATGTCATGTTGTGTTGATCCCATGAACTAGTAGTGACACGTGTTGATCCCATGAACTACTGGTGACATGTTTAGTTGATCCATAACAGCACAAGCGCCATTATTTGAAATTATTTTTTCAAGCGCTATCAGCCGTTTTTGTAGTGGCGTCTATACAAAGTTCGGTATAAAAATCTTCTTATTCTATTCAGCCGTATATAATCAAGCCCAATTTGAATGTTGTTTACAACGTCAAGAGACGATGAATTCTAATACCCCTATATATAAAAAAAAAAACTAATTAAAAATGCTTACATTATTACCCCCCCCCCTTCCCCCCTCTTCCCTCAATCTATAACCATTAGACTGAGACATATTTTGTTTACTTGATTAGTTGGGTTCTTCATGCTGTGTACCTTGTCAAGGGTAGGCCGGGTCTCAAGTTTTATATTACGTGCAGTGCTTAGACTAGGGGTTCCCAACCCTGTGCCCGCGGGCGCCATGGCGCCATCTGAACAATTCATATGAGCCCGCCTCTCACTATTCGACAGAGACAGAATTTTTTTCATGAACATTACTTTAAAATATGATTTATTTTTATTCATTTGTTACAATTTTAATTTTTTTTTGACTGCCTAGGTTTATTAAATATGTTCGATACTTGTCCCAACTTGTCTAGCGGCGAGCCAGACTGCACTATTTACGTTTTGTAAATACATTTCTCTGTGTGTATGCAATTTGAAAAAAAAGCCAAATAATTTTATTATTTTGAAACATTTTTGTTTATTATTTATTAATACATTATGACTATAAGAAAATAAAAAAAATAAATTATGGGAAAATGACAAGTTATGGAAGGAGTTTGTCGATTTGAAAAAGGTGGTGCCCGCCACCCTACCGATATTTTAGAATGTGCTCTAGAGTAAAAAAAAAGGTTGGGAACCCCTGGCTTAGACTATAAGGGCGCTGTAACGCTTGTCTTGCTCTAAATAACCCATTGTAATTTATTCAGGGGGTGGGGGGGGTGGTGGTAAGAAGGGGAATAATTTATTGCCACGGTTTTTCTGTCCCATGTTGTATTATTGTGTGAAATAAAACTTTTATGATCCTTACTATAGGGGGCACGGAGACTATAACACATTCTCCGTTTCATCAGGAAAAAATAACAACGGTTTACAAACAAAAACACAGTTCAAAGAACACAGAGTGTCTGCTGTACACTTTTGTGAAAAATTACAAAGATAATGAACATATTTCAAGGGATTGGAAAGTCGTCAGGTAAACATATTATTTTAATTATAATAGATGTAATAATAATTATAATTTTATTCGTGTCGTTTATTCACAGTGGGTTACACATTGTGTTTTTAGGATCATTGTTTAGGACAAGGTTAAGTCAAGTGTAAGGCGAGTTTAAGGCAAGTTTAGATCGATTTTAGTTCAAAAAAGTATCTAACAAGAAAAACTAGGTAAAGAGTGGTGAGAATTGAAATTGTGCCGTTAAGGTTTTGTGAGGCAGTGTGTGTTATTGTCGTATGCGGTTAAAGCGAGTGTTATTTGAGATCTTAGCTAAAACCGGCGGTTATTAAGTTATAAATAGCGAGGACGCTGTCAACATAATCTCAATTCGCGAGCTACAGTTTATGCCCGCACGTGTCGTTCTAGTTCAGTTTACAAAAAATCAGAGGGTCACGTGTGTGTAGGCCTATGTGCACTGCTTTACAATTTAGGACGTCACATCACCACAGGTGCACCATTCATGATCTCATATTACCACAGTTGCACCATTCATGACGTCACATCACCACAGGTGCACCATTCATGACCTCATATTACCACAGGTGCACCATTCATGACGTCACATCACCACAGGTGCACCATTCATGACCTCATATTACCACAGTTGCACCATTCATGATTTAGGACGTCAAACCACAGTTGCACCATTCATGACGTCACATCACCACAGGTGCACCATTCATGATTTAGGACGTCACACCACAGTTGCACCATTCATGACGTCACATCACCACAGGTGCACCATTCATGATTTAGGACGTCAAACCACAGTTGCACCATTCATGACGTCACATCACCACAGTTGCACCATTCATGATTTAGGACGTCAAACCACAGTTGCACCATTCATGACGTCACATCACCACAGGTGCACCATTCATGATTTAGGACGTCAAACCACAGTTGCACCATTCATGACGTCACATCACCACAGGTGCACCATTCATGATTAAGGACGTCACACCACAGTTGCACCATTCATGATTTAGGACGTCAAACCACAGTTGCACCATTCATGACGTCACATCACCACAGGTGCACCATTCATGATTTAGGACGTCACATCATCACAGTTGCACCATTCATGACGTCACATCACCAGAGGTGCACCATTCATGATTTAGGTCGTCAAACCACAGGTGCACTATTCATGATTAAGGACGTCCCAAAAAAGTTGCAACATTTATGACGTCACATCACCAAAGGTGCACCATTCATGATTTAGGACGTCACACCACAGTTGCACCATTCATGACGTCACATCACCAGAGGTGCACCATTCATGATTTAGGTCGTCAAACCACAGGTGCACCATTCATGATTCAGGACGTCACATCATCATATGTGCACCATTTAGGACGTCATATCACCAGAGGTGCACCAGCGGTGAACCACGTCAAACCACCAGCACATATTTCACTAATCGCTTCACTGGCTTAACGTCAGGTTAGGTTTAGTACCGTTAGGTTTTTTATCAACAGGTTAGGTTTAGTATAATCCAGATAAATTTATTACCAACAGAATAGGTTTATTTCCGACTGATTACGTGTATGTTATTGAACATATATCCCTGTGTTTTTATGTCTACGCTTCAGGGGTTCTGTATATGTGCACGCCTTATTACATCAGTATGGACATGTATAGTCACCCCCCCTGGTCTTCATGGCGGTTTCTGTATTAATATTAATGCTTTTATACTGGGCTTTTTTTGTTTTGATTGTATAAAGATAGTCCTAAGACTGTTTATATATATATATATATATATATATATATATATATATATATATATATATATATATATATATATATATATATATATTACACACATATATATATATATATATATATATATATATATATATATATATATATATATATATATATATATATATATATATATATATATATATATCACTACTCTCTTTGTATTACGTAATAAACACTCAGTCCCTAGCGTGTACATTGTCCAAGACTTACTCAGCGAAACCACCTAATAAGTAATTAACCAGGCTATTATTAGCTCCGCCAGATACTACAGCTAATTAAAATTTCCCCGCCTGATATATTAATTAGCCTTATTGTATACTGCCTCCATGTCTTATAGGCCCTCAGTGAGTTGATGTAGTCTAATCTAGTCTAGTCTAGTCTAGTCTAGTCTAGTCTAGTCTAGTCTAGTCTAGTCTAGTCTAGTCTAGTCTAGTCTAGTCTAGTCTAGTCTAGTCTAGTCTAGTCTAGTCTAGTCTAGTCTAGTCTAGTCTAGTCTAACTTAACCTGCTGTGTTTCTCTACTGTAAACAAACCTGACGTCACCCATTTTCAAACCGACAGAGGTAAATAAAAGGGAAGTCAATCCACACACTTGGAAGAAAAGTTCGAAACTTATTTGCAGTAGCCTCCCTTGTATTGATTGTATGCCGAGAACAATTGGGCACACGGTGGAGAAGATCAGGAATGTATCCATAATTTAATATCCACCGTTACAGTTGGTTTAAAAAAACACATTGTTGGGACCGAAAGGGTGTTGTGTAGTTTGGTATGTAGTTCTGTGTTGTTGTGGTATGTAGTTCTGTGTTGTTGTGGTATATAGTTCTGTGTTGTTGTGGTATGTAGTTCTGTGTTGTTGTGGTATGTAGTTCTGTGTTGTTGTGGTATGTAGTTCTGTGTTGTTGTGGTATGTAGTTCTGTGTTGTTGTGGTATGTATTTCTGTGTTGTTGTGGTATGTAGTTCTGTGTTGTTGTGGTATGTAGTTCGGTGTTGTTGTGGTATGTAGTTCTGTGTTGTTGTGGTATGAAGTTCTGTGTTGTTGTGGTATGTAGTTCTGTGTTGTTGTGGTCTGTAGTTCTGTGTTGTTGTGGTATGTAGTTCTGTGTTGTTGTGGTATGTAGTTCTGTGTTGTTGTGGTATGTAGTTATGTGTTGTTGTGGTATGTAGTTCTGTGTTGTTGTGGTATGTAGTTCTGTGTTGTTGTGGTATGTAGTTCTGTGTTGTTGTGGTATGTAGTTCTGTGTTGTTGTGGTATGCAGTTCTGTGTTGTTGTGGTATGTAGTTCTGTGTTGTTGTGGTATGTAGTTCTGTGTTGTTGTGGTATGTAGTTCTGTGTTGTTGTGGTATGTAGTTCTGTGTTGTTGTGGTATGTAGTTCTGTGTTGTTGTGGTATGTAGTTCTGTGTTGTTGTGGTATGTAGTTCTGTGTTGTTGTGGTATGTAGTTCTGTGTTGTTGTGGTATGCAGTTCTGTGTTGTTGTGGTATGTAGTTCTGTGTTGTTGTGGTATGTAGTTCTGTGTTGTTGTGGTATGTAGTTCTGTGTTGTTGTGGTATGTAGTTCTGTGTTGTTGTGGTATGTAGTTCTGTGTTGTTGTGGTATGTAGTTCTGTGTTGTTGTGGTATGTAGTTCTGTGTTGTTGTGGTATGTAGTTCTGTGTTGTTGTGGTATGCAGTTCTGTGTTGTTGTAGTATGTAGTTCTGTGTTGTTGTGGTATGTAGTTCTGTGTTGTTGTGGTATGTAGTTCTGTGTTGTTGTGGTATGTAGTTCTGTGTTGTTGTGGTATGTAGTTCTGTGTTGTTGTGGTATGTAGTTCTGTGTTGTTGTGGTATGCAGTTCTGTGTTGTTGTGGTATGTAGTTCTGTGTTGTTGTGGCATGTAGTTCTGTGTTGTTGTGGTATGTAGTTCTGTGTTGTTGTGGTATGTAGTTCTGTGTTGTTGTGGTATGCAGTTCTGTGTTGTTGTGGTATGTAGTTCTGTGTTGTTGTGGTATATAGTTCTGTGTTGTTGTGGTATGTAGTTCTGTGTTGTTGTGGTATGTAGTTCTGTGTTGTTGTGGTATGTAGTTCTGTGTTGTTGTGGTATGTAGTTCTGTGTTGTTGTGGTATGTAGTTCTGTGTTGTTGTGGTATGTAGTTCTGTGTTGTTGTGGTATGTAGTTCTGTGTTGTTGTGGTATGTAGTTCTGTGTTGTTGTGGTATGTAGTTCTGTGTTGTTGTGGTATGTAGTTCTGTGTTGTTGTGGTATGTAGTTCTGTGTTGTTGTTGTGGTATGTAGTTCGGTGTTGTTGTGGTATGTAGTTCTGTGTTGTTGTTGTGGTATGTAGTTCTGTGTTGTTGTGGTATGTAGTTCTGTGTTGTTGTTGTGGTATGTAGTTCGGTGTTGTTGTGGTATGTAGTTCTGTGTTGTTGTTGTGGTATGTAGTTCGGTGTTGTTGTGGTATGTATTTCTGTGTTGTTGTGGTATGTAGTTCTGTGTTGTTGTGGTATGTAGTTCTGTGTTGTTGTGGTATGTAGTTCTGTGTTGTTGTGGTATGTAGTTCTGTGTTGTTGTGGTATGTAATTCTGTGTTGTTGTGGTATGCAGTTCTGTGTTGTTGTGGTATGTAGTTCTGTGTTGTTGTGGTATGTAGTTCTGTGTTGTTGTGGTATGTAGTTCTGTGTTGTTGTGGTATGTAGTTCTGTGTTGTTGTGGTATGTAGTTCTGTGTTGTTGTGGTATGTAGTTCTGTGTTGTTGTGGTATGTAGTTCTGTGTTGTTGTGGTATGTAGTTCTGTGTTGTTGTGGTATGTAGTTCTGTGTTGTTGTGGTATGTAGTTCTGTGTTGTTGTGGTATGTAGTTCTGTGTTGTTGTGGTATGTAGTGCTGTGTTGTTGTGGTATGTAGTTCTGTGTTGTTGTGGTATGTAGTTCTGTGTTGTTGTGGTATGTAGTTCTGTGTTGTTGTGGTATGTAGTTCTGTGTTGTTGTGGTATGTAGTTCTGTGTTGTTGTGGTATGTAGTTCTGTGTTGTTGTGGTATGTAGTTCTGTGTTGTTGTGGTATGTAGTTCTGTGTTGTTGTGGTATGTAGTTCTGTGTTGTTGTGGTATGTAGTTCTGTGTTGTTGTGGTAAGTTATGGGGGTCCAGTGACGTCTTGTTTCATTGATTAAAGTGACGTTTTTGTTGGTCAAGGTGGGATTACACACAATGTGGTTTTTTTCTTTTTTGAATTTTTGACACGTGTCGGGTACAATGATGTTGACACGTGTGTCGGTTAATGAAATTTTTACACGTGTATCGGTTAGTGAGATTTTTACACGTGTGTCGGTTAATGAGATTTAGACACGTGCGTCGGTTAATGAGATTTAGACACGTGATAGATAATTAACACGTGTAAGATGATAATTTGTGGATGTGTGTAGTGTTTTTAGTTTCATCTTTAAAGAATAGAATTTATGCATTTGTTTGCTATATGTGATGTAGTTGTTGATTTGATTGATCTCTTGAAGCTTTTTTGAAGTGGTAAGTACAGGGTTGATAATTTAACTTTTTGTAGCAGATGAAGTAGAGTTCATGTGTTTCTTGATCTCGGCAAGTAAAGGTATAGTGTGGTCAGCACTATGCCCAGTCGCCTTTACTTAGGGCCGTCCTTCAGAGATCCGATCTCGTGACCTTCGGGCTAGAAGACGAGTTCGCTATCACTCGACCACACCTTCCCATAAAAAATATCACAGCAAAAATTTGTATTAGAAAGTATTCTTTCGAGCATGCCGGTCGGTGGGGCAGGTAAAGTAGAGTTCACCTGTTGCTATGAGCTCGGCATATGAAGCTGTTTCATTGAGAATAAGCTAGACTCTAGTCTTGAATATAAGATGTCAAAAACTAAATTCACAATGTGGAACCTTTGTATTCTTTGATCGAATCCCCTTGGGGGAATGGATATTAATGTAAACAAAAAAAAAAAACTTGACAAAAGTGAATATAAATTAAATTTGCTGCTTTTAACAATAACTTTTCGTTTGGTTTATTAAATTAATTAACAAAACAAAGACTACAACAAATAGAACGATATTTCATTATATTCATTAAAAAAAAAAAAAACTAACATAAACAGCAGTATTTAATGAATGAAATTTAAAAAAATACCAACTCAAATCCTTTTTATTTTCCACCATCTCCATTTCCTTCCGGTGACGTCACAGACTAATGGCCGCCCGTGTGTGTCAACAAAGCCTAGCTCTATCTGGGTTGGCACAATGAAATTCGGCCTTCGCTGTCATCGCCCTCTAGTGGTCATCTTAGGGCTACTCCACAACGGTACGTCTCTCTATAGTTAGCACGTCGCCTCTAGTCGGTTAGCCGTACTTCTTAGTATAACATAAGGTATAATCGGTAACGGTTCATATTACTAAAATTCCTCGGTAGATGTTTAGTGTTTAGTTAGGTCTTAGAGTTACATTAACCACAGACTGGATTCTAAACCTCACCATGTTTCAGGCCTGGTTAAATGTCTGGTGTGTCAAGTAACGAGGCATCAGTCACCCAACTAGAAGCAAAGTCTTAAAGCGGGGGTCGGGGGGGGGGGGCATTTCTTTTTTTTCCTCTTTTTTTTGTAAAATAGGGCAAGTGGCTTTCGGGCATTTATCCCATTCGGGCAAGTGTCCATTCGGGCAGTAGTCGCATTCGGGCAAGTGTCCATTTTTGGAAAATGTCTGGCTCACGATTTCCTATAATGGGAATTTGTATCTGTCTTGTTCTACTCAAAAGCGACCTATATAAACGCACACACGTATATATATATATATATATATATATATATATATATATATATATATATATATATATATATATATATATATATATATATATAAATATAAATATAAATATATATATATATATATATATATATATATATATATATATATATATATATATATATATATATATATATATATATATAGGTGGACGAATATGGCTGTATGTACGGGGGTGGAATAGGTTTTGCTGTGGGGGGGATGGCTGTGTGTATGTGAGGGTGGACGGGCGGATGGGAGTGGAGATGGAGCAAGAACACAGCATATACAAGTGGATGTTCTTTACGTGTCTGACAACTGATGCTTTTCATTCATTTCTGATCAGGTTGGAGATGTATGACGTCATTGCCTGTCGCCCTGAAATACGTCACCAACTGCGTCACCCTCAGGACCTGCCGGTTCCGGCCCGGCGCGTCCTGGCTGATCGCCTTCCTGGCATGTCTGGCACTGGTGCTGCTGGCCACTGGGAGGATCTTCCCCGAGGTGGTGCCGAGGTCTGACCTGGAGCTGGTGCTCAAAGACCTCCTGCGTCACGACCCCCGGACCGGCGTCCTGAGGGTCACCGTCTCCTTCCGGCCAGTGACCCCGGGTGAGGCGGACCTTTGTCTGAACGAAAACCTACAGACTAGGGATCGAATCTCACTCAGGGAGTACCGGACCTTCTTGAAGGAGAAGTCGGTTGCTGACGTGGTCAAGAGGAGGAGGTGTAACGTGGAGGCGATGCCGCTAAGTGGGTTTTTATAGGGCTTTTAATGTCTCGAAATATGGAGTAGTTAACACAAGTTCAATGTGGAGTAGTTAAGACAAGTTCAATGTGGAGTAGTTAAGACAAGTTCAATGTGAATTCCTAAAGACAAGTTAAATGTAGATTTTTTATGCAAGCTAAACGTGGAGTATTTAATGCATTCAAGCTAAATGTAGATTATTTAAAACAAGTTAAATGTGGATTAGTTAAGACAAGCTACATGTAGATTATATAATACAAGCTAAATGTAGATTATTTAAGACACGCTAAATAAGGATTATTTAAGACAACCTAAATGTGGATTATCAAGCTAAATGTAGGGTCGGCGTGGTCGAGTTGTTAAAGCTCATGGTTGCTAAACCGAAAATTCTCGAGTTCGAACCCTCAGGCAGATGAGGCTTGTTAGATAGGGACAGCCACTCTTCTAGGAGAGGCAACTCCAAAACCAAACAACAGAAGTTGTTTGTTCTTGGTTGGATAAAGGCTATAGAAGCAAATCCAAAAAAGAAAAGCAGGCTGAAATCGGAGTCAATGGCCTCAATGGCGCATAACCAGTTGACGCGTATCCTTAATTGTGATGGAGGCGTGGTCGAGTCGGCAAAAAAAGCTCATGGTTGATAAATTCGAAAAAGCCTCGAGTTCAAACCCTTCCAACACTAAAAATTAAGAACAAAGAAGAAGCTAAATGTAGATTAAGACTTTTTGTCATCTATTTTAGTTTACCGTTCACATTGATTAGATGTAGTTGAGCTTAAATTCTAGCTAAGTGTGCTTTACTTGCGACTTAAACTAAATGTAGTGTAGCTTATATTTTTCAAAACAAAAATTAGCTTTGGCTGTTGGAAATTGTATGACATAATTTTTTAGTTGGTTTTAAAATGCTGTTAGGAAAATCATCTCTTTAAAAAATAATTATAGCCTACTTTGTTAAAAAAAAAAATAATGTAGCCTACTTATGATATCAGTTGTAGCATTGATACCAAACGTATCTTGATACCTGTATCCCTCCCAGTCGGCAGGTTTATCCCGGAACTAAAGAGCCTCCGACCCTCGGAACTGATCGCCTTGTTTCCGATGCTGCGGGACGGCGGCCATTACGTCCCGAAAGACTGCGAGGCTGTGGAGAAGACGGCCATCATCATCCCGTACCGCGACCGCTGGGGCAACCTGCACACCCTCATGCTCGTGCTCATCGCCATGCTCATCCGGCAGAACATCGACTTCACCATCTTCGTCGTGGAGCAGGTTAGTGGGGGGGGGGGGGGGAGCAAGTGACGTCATATAGACGTAACGATGTCTTACAAATTGGCGTAGTACACATTCAGTGTTGTTGTAAGGACGACGTTCTATAGACTTCAGGGCATTCTCAGTGACGTCCTACAGACTCAGTGACTTCCTATAGACAGTGACGTCCTACAGAATCAATGACGTCCTATAGACTCAGTGACGTCCAGTGTGACGTCCTATATACCCAGTGAAGTCCTCCTGATAAGAACGTTATTTAGACGATTCCCAGAAAATCGCACATACAAAAAATTAAAAAAAAAATGCGAAAATTGATACAAAATTTAATACTTTTACTTTGTCATATTTCATAGAAAAATGTTTTATTTATGCTACAATGTACAAGTGGTCATTCGTTGGTATTGACTATAACTAATTCCTTTGCGCACTTTCTGTCTCGTATTTTTCTGGCATCCATTCAGACTAAAGGAAGTCTTTTATAGTTATGAACATAATATCTCACTAAACCTCTAACGTGATTTGTTTAACTCACCTAGTTTTATGATTCATTGAACTTATCGATCTTTCCATGTGACTTATCGACTAACCTTTACATCTCATTAACTCCCGACATCTCATTAACCCCCTAACCACCATTCTAACCACCTTTAACCCCTTCAGTGTCGCGGCACCACCTACAACAAAGGCCTGCTCTTTAACGCCCTTAACCCTCTAACCACTGTAACCCTAACCACCTTTAACCCCTTCAGTGTCGCGGCACCACCTACAACAAAGGCCTGCTCTTTAACGCCGGCTACCTGGAGGCGCTCAAGCTGGACACCTACGGCTGTTTCATCCTGCATGACGTCGACATGATCCCCCTGGACGACAGGAACCTGTACAGGTGCAACAAGACCTCGCCGCTACACCTCTCCACGGCGGTTAGCAAGTTTAACTACTCGTGAGTCGGGTTTAACTGCTCGTTGGTTAGGTTTAACTGTTCTTTGGTTAGGTTTAACTACTCGTGAGTCGGGTTAAACTACTCGTGGTTAGGTTTAACTAACCGTTGGTTAGGTTTAACTGCTCGTTGGTTAGGTTTAACTGTTCTTTGGTTAGGTTTAACTGCTCATGAGTCAGGTTTAACTACTCGTTGGTTAGGTTTAACTTCTCTGGGTTATATTTAACAAAGCGTGGTTAGGTTTAAGCACTCGTTGGTAATGTTTAACTTCTCTAAGTTCTAAGTAAGGTTAAAGTAATTTTGTAGTTAAAACAGGTTTGACCACTTGCTTAAACAAGAATTAACAGCTGGTGACATTAATAATGCGAGTGATTTCCCCTTAGTACTAGGCAAGTGGAACAAAAAAAATTCACTAGAGTGCTCTAAAGTTTCTATTGCTAAAATAAACAAAAAAGTATTGTTCATTAGAAAAGAGTCTAGAGTCTAGAGCAACCAGCATACTTACTATTACAGTTATACATTTTAATTTTATTTCTATCACCATAGAGAACAGTTACACTGTGAAATGAATATCTAGTTAATTAGCTGATTAGTTAATTAGCTCCTCCATTTGTTTCCAGCACGCTCTATTCTGGTCTGTTTGGGGGCGTGGTCAGTTTCACTCGCCAACAGTTCCAGACCATCAACGGCGCTTCCAACATGTACTTCGGCTGGGGGGCCGAGGACGATGACCTAAGGGACAGGTGAGTTGACATTGGGGGCAGGTGAAATCAGGGACAGGTGACATCAGGGACATGTGACATCAGGGACAGGTGACATCAGGGGCAGGTGACATTAGGACATGTGACATTAGCGACATGTGACATCAGGGACAGATGACATCAGGGGCAGGTGACATTAGCGACAGGTGACATCAGGGACAGGTGACATCAGGGGCAGGTGACATCAGGGACATGTGACATCAGGGGCAGGTGGCATCAGGGACATGTGACATCAGGGACATATGACATCAGGGGCAGATGACATCAGGGGCAGATGACATTAGGGGCAGATGACATCAGGGACAGGTGACATCAGGGACATGTGACATCAGGGACAGGTGGCATCAGGGACATGTGACATCAGGGGCAGGGGACATCAGGGACATGTGACATCAGGGGCAGGTGACATCAGGGGCAGGTGACATCAGGGACATTTGACATCAGGGACATGTGGCATCAGGGACAGGTGATTTCAGGGACAGGTGACATCAGGGGCAGATGACATCAGGGGCAGATGACATTAGGGGCAGATGACATCAGGGACATGTGGCATCAGGGACAGGTGATTTCAGGGACAGGTGACATCAGGGACAGGTGACATCAGGGACAGGTGACATGATGGAAAAGATGACATCAGGGACAAGTGACATCTGGGGCAGGTGACATCAGTGACAGGTGACATTAGGGACAGGTGACATCAGGGACAGGTGACATCAGGGACAGGTGACATGATGGAAAAGATGACATCAGGGACAGGTGACATCTGGGGCAGGTGACATCAGTGACAGGTGACATCAGGGACAGGTGACATCAGGGACAGGTGACATTACGGGCAGGTGACATCTGGGGCAGGTGACATCATGGACAGGTGACATCAGGGACAGGTGACATCAGGGTCAGGTGACATCTGGGGCAGGTGACATCAGTGACAGGTGACATCAGGGGCAGGTGACATCAGAGGCAGGTGACATCAGAGGCAGGTGACATTAGGGACAGGTGACATCAGGGACAGGTGGCATCAGGGACAGGTGACATCAAGGACAGGTGACATCAGGGGCAGGTGACATCAGGGAGAGGTGACATCAGGGAGAGGTGACATCAGGGACAGGTGAGATCAAGGACAGGTGACATCAGACAGGTGACATCAGGGAGAGGTGACATCAGGGAGAGGTGACATCAGGGACAGGTGACATCAGGGACATATGACATCAGGGACATATGACATCAGGGACATATGACATCAGGGGCAGATGACATCAGGGGCAGGTGACATCAGGGGCATGTGACATCAGGGACAGGTGACATCAGGGACAGGTGACATCAGGGACAGGTGACATCAGGGGCAGGTGACATCAGGGGCAGGTGTCATTAGGGAGAGGTGACATCAGGGAGAGGTGACATCAGGGACAGGTGGCATCAGGGGCAGGTGAGATCAAGGTCAGGTGACATCAGACAGGTGACATCAGGGAGAGGTGACATCAGGGAGAGGTGACATCAGGGACAGGTGGCATCAGGGGCAGGTGAGATCAAGGACAGGTGACATCAGACAGGTGACATCAGGGAGAGGTGACATCAGGGAGAGGTGACATCAGGGACAGGTGAGATCAAGGACAGGTGACATCAGACAGGTGACATCAGGGAGAGGTGACATCAGGGAGAGGTGACATCAGGGACAGGTGACATCAGGGACATATGACATCAGGGACATATGACATCAGGGACATATGACATGAGGGGCAGATGACATCAGGGGCAGGTGACATCAGGGGCATGTGACATCAGGGACAGGTGACATCAGGGACAGGTGACATCAGGGACAGGTGACATCAGGGGCAGGTGACATCAGGGGCAGGTGACATTAGGGACATATGTCATTATTGACTGGTTACATCAGGGATAGATAAAATGAGGGACAGGTAAGTTGAAATCAGGGACATATGACATCAGCGACATGTGACATGAGGGACAGCTGAGGTGACATCAGGACAGTTGACATCAAGAACCAGGTGATAAAGTTATTGTTTCCTCCCGGCACTGGGATAAATGTCTGAAAGAAACCCTATATCATCCCTAACCCTAACGATTATTACAGAATCCTGAACCGAGGGCTGATCCCGTACCACAAGTCCCACAAGTATGGCGTCTATCAGATGTTGCCACACGACCAGGTCAACGGGTGGGCCAAAAACCCTAAACGGTAAGTTAAGGGCTGGTATACATCTTGGCTGGTTGATGTACACAATTGGTTAGTTGATGTACACATCTTGGATGATTGATGTACACATCTTGGATGATTGATGTACACATCTTGGATGATTGATGTACACATCTTGGCTGGTTGATGTACACATCTTGGCTGGTTGGTGTACACATCTGGTTGATGTACACATCTGGTTGATGTACACATCTTGGCTGGTTGATGTACACATCTTGGTTAGTTGATGTACACATCTTGGATGATTGATGTACACATCTTGGTTAGTTGATGTTCACATCTTGGTTGGTTGATGTACACATCTTGCTGGTTGATGTACACATCTTGGCTGGTTGGTGTACACATCTTGGCTAGTTGATGTACACATCTTGTTTGGTTGATGTACACAGCTTGGCTGGTTGGTGTACACATCTTGGCTGGTTGATGTACACATCTGGTTGATGTACACATCTGGTTGATGTACACATCTGGTTGATGTACACATCTGGTTGATGTTCACATCTTGGCTGGTTGATGTACACATCTGGTTGATGTACACATCTGGTTGATGTACACATCTGGTTGATGTACACATCTTGGCTGGTTGATGTTCACATCTGGTTGATGTACACATCTGGTTGATGTACACATCTGGTTGATGTACACATCTTGGTTGGTGGATGTACACATCTTGGCTGGTGGATGTACACATCTTGGTTGGTTGATTTACATAATTATTTATATCCAAATTTGTAAACACCCCTTACACAGATCTACTCTGATCAAGGGAGGTAAAAGTAAAACTTAGACGATATATATAATTTCATGGATTATGTACCTTAGCTTATAAAAAACATCTAAACTTCTGACCTTCTGTCCTACTAAGTTACTAGTTGTGTGTTGGAGGGTTTTGTTTCCACTTAATTTTGTCTGTCTGTTTTCAGCGCTGAATCGCTAACATTCTTCGCTTTTATAAAATTATGTTTTTCCCATTCTCTTGTTTGGGACTAGCATTGGCCTGCCTATGTCACAAAGCTACAGCCATCCATATTCCATTCTGATTTACCCATACACGTTTTTCTTACACACCCACACCCCAACATTCCCTCAATCACACCCACACCCCAACATTCCCTATGCCCCACCCACCCACACCACAACATTCTCTCCGCCACACCCACACCCCAACATTCCCTCCGCCACACCCACACCCCAACATTCCCTCCGCCACACCAACCTACACCACAACATTCCCTATGCCCCACCCACCCACACCACAACATTCCCTATGCCCCACCCACCCGCACCCCAACATTCCCTATGCCCCACTCACACCACAACATTCCCTATGCCCCACCCACCCGCACCACAACATTCCCTATGCCCCACCCACCCGCACCACAACATTCCCTATGCCCCACTCACACCACAACATTCCCTATGCCCCACCCGCACCCCAACATTCCCTATGCCCCACCCGCACCCCAACATTCCCTATGCCCCACTCACACCACAACATTCCCTATGCCCCACCCACTCACACCACATTCCCTATGCCCCACCCACCCACCCACATCCCAAAATTCCCTCAATCACACACACCCCACCCCCCTCCATCCATGTTTTCATATCTCTCTATTCCCTCCCCCCAGCTTCGAGTTATTCCGCAAGCGCCACGAGCGCCAGAATATCGACGGTCTGACATCAGCTGTCTACAAGGTGGCGTCCATAGCAACCTTCCCGCTCTACACCTGGATCACAGTTCAGATCGACGAAGGGCAGGTCTTGAAGGTACATGACTCGACCTGCTCAACACGATAACTCTACTTGACCTGCGCAATGCACAAGTTATTTGTGGGTGTGGCTATGTGGTTGAGGTTGTGAGGTGATCTTTAACCTGGCTAATTAGCAGAAGTGAGATGATCTTTAACCTGGCTAATTAGCAGAAGTGAGATGATCTTTAATCTGACTAATTAGCAGGTGAGGTGATCTTTAACCTGGCTAATTAGCAGAAGTGAGATGATCTTTAACCTGGCTAATTAGCAGAAGTGAGATGATCTTTAACCTGGCTAATTAGCAGAAGTGAGATGATCTTTAACCTGGCTAATTAGCAGAAGTGAGATGATCTTTAACCTGGCTAAGTGGCAGAAAGTTGGAAGCGGTGTGTGTGTGTGTTGTTATGTTGTGAGTAGGGGATCACCGTTCAGCAGGACTAAAACCGCGGAACGAATGCCACGACTTCAAACAAATTCATTCATTTTGAAAGACTTGAATTATTCAAGATGACATATTTGATGTATGCTGCGTGACATGTTTGTGGGGAGGTGTGATCGAACGGTAGAGCGTTCGGATTTCGGTTCGGACTTAAAGACTGTAGGACTTCCCTGAGTGCACCCAGCTCTGATGGGTACCTGATTTGCGATAGAGTAAGTAAAGGCGGCTGGGCTTAGTGCTGACCACACTATTCCTTCTTACGCTGAGATAGTGTAACATGTACTCTGTCCAATGGATCGCTAAATACATACTAGATTACATATTAGATAATGACATTTAATGTATTCTAGATGACACATTTAATGTATTTTAGATGACACATTTTATGTATTCCAGATGACATATTGAATGTATTCCACATTTAATGTATTCTAGATGACACATTTAATGTATTCTAGATGACACATTTAATGTATTCTAGATGACACATTTAATGTATTCAAGATGACATATTTAATGTATTCTAGATGACATATTGAATGTATTCTAGATGACATATTGAATGTATTCTAGATGACATATTTAATGTATTCTAGATGACATATTTAATGTATTCTAGATGACATATTTAATGTATTCTAGATGACACATTTAATGTATTCTAGATGACACATTTAATGTATTCTAGATGACACATTTAATGTATTCTAGATGACACATTTAATGTATTCTAAATGACATTTTACATTCCTAGCAATACATGCCTATCCTAAAACAAACACAATGTTGATTTCAATTTCAGACAGTGCCGGAAAAGTTCCGGTCAGCACCAGAAGGCATCTCGCAGCCGGAAGAATACAAGATGGTTGAAATTCCAGAGCTACCCCCCTAAATCTTACGTCAAAGCATTGGTTACGCCATAGGGGGGAGGGGAATAACTCAGGGCCAGAGTTCAAGGTCATCGCGCTGTGATGAATTTATACAGTGATTTGTATTTACACGGTGATTGGTTTAGGAATCGATAGAGCGATTGATGAGTATTGATCATTCGGACGGCGGTAGGAATCAGAACTCACCATCCGTGCACATGTTTTTGATAGTACTGTACTTAACAATCCGATTTTATAATGTTATGAAGTCAAATTTCATCATGGGAATGTTAAAGACACGATAGAAGAGAATTAATCATCTGTGTTTACATGAGAAAATAGTTGTATCATATTGAGAATTATATTCTATATTTAAAAATCTACATCAATGACATATTTACATACTATTTATATATATATATATGAAAAACTTTTTAAAATTTAATTTACTTGAGAGTTGATGGGTATTGGAAGATTTGGATGGGTGAATGGACATGTGGTTGAGTGGTTGGATGGTTGGGATGGTTGGATGGTTGGATGGTCCATTAGGGTAAAATCTTGATTGGGGTTTAGCCAGCGTGTGAGTGTGTAGGTGTGTAGTTGTGTGTACATGAGTGTGAGTGTGTGTGTGTGTGTGTACATATGTGTGTGTGTGTGTTGCTGTAACCCATCTAGAAAGTTTTAAAGCCATGTTTTTACTATCACCTTATGAATCTAATGAAATTGTACATCATATGTAAATACATATAGAAATCTAAGTAGTATGTGTTTAACCTTATGTGTTTAACCTTACCCCAGTCCACACATATACAAACCTATATGTTTAACCCTAAGTCTACGCATATAAAAATCTATCTAATGTTATATGTTTAACCTTAACCTTGTTCACACATATAAAAATCTGTATGTTCAACCCCCAGTCCACACATAAAAATTTATATGTTTAAAGCCCAGTCCACGCATATAAAAATCTATATGTTTAACCCTAAGTCCACGCATATAAAAATCTATACATTTAACCCCCAGTCCACGCATTTAAAAATCTATATGTTTAACGCATTAACAATAAACCAAACATCAGTTTAACCATAATTCAGATATCAGTTAAACCATAAGCCAGACTTCAGTTAAACAATTACGCAGATATCAGTTTAACATAACCCAGACATCAGTTAAACAATTACGCAGATATCAGTTTAACATAACCATAACCTTGAATTGAGCTTACATTCAGGGGAGATAACTCGTATCTAAACAGCTGTATGGAGCGTTTGTATGAAACAAACCTGCTTTAATCATTAACGTATTGAAGGTGCCAATAGTGACACAACATAAAGTGATACAAATGTATATCTAGACATTGTTATTGTCATATGTGCACAGGTCATTAGGTAACATTTAATTATCAAGAGAGGTCAAAAACATTCGAACCAGCAACTAAAGTGGAAACAAAAGTCTACATAGTCTAAGCTAAAGCATCCTCGATCATTCAAATATGTTTTTTTACGCTTTCAACAGGGTGATCACAAATATAAGTTACAGTGCTAAAAATATATGGGGAAAAACCCCCCACCTAAAATTAAAAATTAGATTTTAATCTTTACACTACTTTACTTGTGACTCGACGCTCTTTAATTCGGCCTGTTCAACTATAGATCTAGATCTAGTCTAGATCTAGAGTCTAGATCTAACTAGACTCTAGCAAGACCAGTACCAGTAGTTTAACAGACAAGATTTTCTGCCCTATCTACCCAACAGAACAGCGTAACTATTTAAAAAAAAAATTCAACACTATGCCAGGAACGGAATATGTTGCTCAGGTCACAGATGTTGATATAAAGTGGAAAGTCAGTATGGCAGTTAGCAGTAATGATGTTAGAAGCTTAAATGAACCAATGGTAACAATGATGTTGGTGACCACTGAAGAGAGTGGAAACGCAGTCAACAGACCAGTGGAAATTACCATAACAAAATTCAAGGAATTATTGAGTACAATGAAACAAATACAGAATCAGATGGAATTGGCCAAACTTGTATGACAGCAGCTACATGTAGTCATATTATATATATATTGGATTCTGCCAGTTAAATATTATGGAAGAACTATATGAAAAGCATATAATGTTCAAATACAAAATACATTCTTTTTATTGGAGTGTATTCCCAACTGCAACGTTTAAAATTAAAGAGTTTTAGTGGCGCTCAGAAACCCACTTTGTTTAAAATATTTATAGTAACACAGATATTTCACTCAGATTTATATTTATAAGCCTACTTTTATAAGCTGTTACTGTCAATTATGTTGTGTATTGTTGCTATTTGTTTAATTTGCCTAAGTTAATATGCTTAATAGAAAAAATATGTTTTGCATTTTGGTCAGTATGTTTTGACGACCAGTAAATATTATCATTTTAATTAATTAATTAATGATTTTCATTTGATATGTAATAATTTGAGTTTAGCAGCAATAGCTCACAAGTAATGCATATTTATATAAGATCTGAATTTTTTCAATTGTTAACTCACCATTTTTTTTGAAGAGATAATTGTACTTTGAATGATAAAGAAATCTCAGTTTCTTAAATAATTTACATAGCTAATAAATGACATAACTGCATTAGTTGTTGCAGAGTAAAGGTAGTTGCTCCAATAAGATTTCCAGACATTTAAATGGGATATTGTATTTCTATTCATAGATTCAGTTATACAGACATGTTATCGAAACTGTTTTTTGTGTGAAATTAATGTCCAGCTTTATATAAACTATAGACTTGGAGGACATTTTTCAAAGATTTGTTCCTATTAGGTTAAAACTTTTACTCAACATTCTGTTTGAAACTTAATAACAAATCTTTTCATTTATAATTAGTGTTTAATTTATCTATAAAATCTGTATTCAGATATCAAGAATGAAGCTGATAATAATGTTGACAATAAACTTGCATTCTTTGATATCATTTTGCTGGCATTAAAAAGAAACAGCAAATTAAGTCATGATATGTTTTTGTACCACATTTTCTCTTCACTAATCATCACCTAGATCTGCATGTACAAGATGTTAATATATCATTTTAGAAACGTATTATTTAATTTATTAAAATTAAACAGTTTTGCTACAAAAAAAAAAAAAAAAAAAAAAAAAAAAAAAAAAAAAAAAACAAATATAAGTTACAATATTCTTTTCTTTGCCTTGTCTCTGAATTCCCAAATCATTGACAAAAGCTATGCACTAGAGACAAGAAGCAGGTTTTTTGTTAATTTCAGTCTGTAACATCGATGTGACAAAGTCTGTCTAGCACTAGTAACAGAAAGCTTTGAGTTTTAAGTGCTAGATTCTATTTTAAAATTGTGTTCCTTCTTTAGTCACCAGTTACATGTTTTATTTGAGAATAAAATAAGTCTATACAAAATAAAAATAAATAAATTAAAAAAAAAAACAAATATAAGCTACAATATGAAATAATTACCACCACCCCCCCCCCCCTTTTCCCAAAAAATATACTACTTACATTTGTCTATAACTCAACGTAAAGCTTGCATAGATCAATAGCCAATAAAATACCACCAGTAAACAACATGCACCATCTGTTAACCATATTGACTCTATGAACAGTACCCTATAAATAAAATTTAACAAATAGCACTGAACATAAAGCAAGATCTGTAATGTGCAATTCTGTTGTTTTAATCATTACAAATATCAACAGGTATACAATGAATAAAAAAACATTAACATGTGTATATGAAATGTTTAAAACAACATACGTACATAGATGATGAAAATACATATTTTAAAATCTATTTACAAAGTAGAACATTTAAAGGTAATGATTACATTTTTAAAACTACTCAAATTGTAAGTATGACAGTTTTCTAGACATAAATTTTTTAACGACACTCTAAGTTTGTTTATTTAAAAAAAAGAAATAAGCAAGGTAAATGGGTAAACGATTATTTTTAACTTGAGTCTTCTTAAAACGCCATTCAACACCGAAAAAAAATGTTTTTCTAAAAAAAAATAAGCCATCAGAAAGCATTTGTCTACTATAATTTTTAAGGCAATACTAAACAACACGCTTTAGCTTTATAACGTCCAGATTTGTGTAAAAGAGATACACATTAGGAAACAAGTTAAAATGGATAAATAAATGACGTAGACATACTGTGGAGAAAGGTAAAGGGGTGGGCAGAAACATAGATAAAATTAAACAAGGAAAGGGAAATAACCGTGAATTCGGGCAAAGTGAAGCTGGTGCATTGTTGTAAATTTAAACCGGAAATGAAGACAGGTAAAACAAAAATGTCAATAACAAATTTTTATGACATCGTATATGGTTTGACACGTTTTATGTGAATGTTTATGTACATACAACAACAGAATGATGACATGTATAGGGGGGGGGGGGGTTGGTGGTGGGTTGGGGGGGGGTGGGGGTGAGGCGGGATTAATAAAAATAATATTTAAATATAGATTATATTTTATCCCAAAGATATTTCTTTAGACCTCTATCAAAACGTGTTGTATTTCTCAGGTTATCAACAAACATATTCTATGGACAAGGCTACACATTGTCTTGTCAACAATTTTGATGCTATAATTAGATTTTGTGGCTGTATAGTTTACGTGGATTTCTTTACGCAGACTGCAAGGAAGTTGTTTCGCCCCCCTCTCATTAATTTAAAAAAACTGAATCATAAAAAAAGGTATAAAATACGTAGAAAAAGTATACATTAATCAAACGATTATAATACAAACCGTTTAAGTAAAATAATACGATGTGGAACATAGTGAAAAAAATTGAATCAAATAATTAAAATTAATAAAAATAATAAATTAACAAATTAAGAAAATGTGGAGATTAATGAAGAAGGAATGCATGTACTAGTAAACAAGCCCGGATCAAACGCGGGACTAAAATAAAAAAATCAAAGTTTTGGTCTTTTATGAGCAGCAGTCATTTCAACACTCGACAAACCTCATACATAACATACATCATACATCGACACTAACTGTCAAACACATTATGCAAGATAAGCTTTCTTTGACAGAACATCTTGAACCTGAAGGTTGTACAACCGAAACTGTAGACTTCGTTCAATTGTTGGTATTCAAAAGCGTAAAAAAACAAAACAAATTGCTATCCCGTACAAATTAGTGATGTTTTGTGTTATCTGCTCTTGTCACACAGCTGACCGGGACTGGACCGTGAACTAGGGACGCTGGGTCTGGTTGTCATGGCGACCGATTCTGAACTCGCCAGGCCAGCCCGGCTATTAATAACCAAGTCACGTGAGCTCAATGTAGCATCCCCTATCACGTGGCCACATAAGGTGGATTCATCACTGAGCCAACTATGTTTACATCAGTCTAATTATAATGACGTAATTAATTTACTAAATTAATGCAGTAATAATCTATACCGGAATCAAGTTAGTAAATTTAGATTTACAAATTAGTCTGCACTACTTTTACTAATTACATTACATTGAAAATCCTGTTATTAATTTATCTAAAAAAATATAAATTATTCGAACTCAAAATGCTCCAATACGCTAACTGTCCTATGTTCAAATGAAAAATCTCTATTCACTACTCTACTTCTGAGATACAAAAATCCAAAACTAGTTAGTGCACACAAATCGATGACGTCATCCCCAGGATATTAGTCGTAGAGCTCCACCCACTTATTGAGCTCTGGCACCATGTTCCTGTCGTTGCAGCGGTTCTTGGAGCAGAAGCAGATACGGTCGTTGTTGTGGGTGATGCAGCCGTTGGCGGGAATCTTCACGCCAAAGAACTGGTAGTCGGAACATCCGCGATTCACATCTGCCGGGGAATAAAGAAACATTTTATTTCTCGTATATTGACTTGGAATTTGCATTTTTAATTAAGCGTATTATCCATTATCTGTTTAGTTATGTATGTATGAAAGTGGTTCAAATGTAGGTAGTTTTTTTTTAAAATATTTAATTTTGCAACGGTTATTTGAGACAAATTTAAAAATATTAATTTAGACAATACAAGTAGCTGTGTTTGGTAAATGATAAAAAAAGCATCAGATTTTTTTTTGCGTGGTTGCTTTAAAAAAACAACTACAAAAAAACAGTTCTACAAAACCAGGGGGTATAGTTTATATCGGAGGTATATTTGAACAATAGGATATTTCATTAAAGTTGTCAGTATAAGACTTTGGCTGTTCAATCAAAAGCGACGTTAAAAAAAACATATTGTTGTTCCAATTTTTAGAAGTATTTGAATTTGTAATAATAGTTCCGAACTACTACAATCATTATATCGGATTTTAAAAATCACCAAATAATCCTAATATATAAATCCCCACGTTCGCACATCTCTCTCTCTCTCTCTCTCTCTCTCTCTCTCTCTGTCTGTCCGCAAAATATTTTCGCCGGACATCACGTCAGAATCGGCAGCGATATATGAAGAACTTTTTACGGAGTTTTGTTGAAAATAATATGTCAAATGTTTTAAATGTATAACCACAATTTTAGTTAAAGAAGAAAAATAAAAATTAAAGGCGTATTCGAATGTAGAGAAACAGTATTATTTATGCAACCGGAAAAGCATTAATATATGTGAAAAAGAACGCATTAAACTGTGACGTCACTATTGCTTATACATTAACTAATGACGTCATCTGCCGTGTTTAGAATGAAAAGAAATGAACTATTTCATTCAAATTTGATTTAGATCTACGTTCACTATGAAATGTATACAATACAATTTTTCCGGCCTAAACTCATAAAATTTATTTTATGTATTTGGATTCTAGATCTAGAGATTCTAGATCTAGACTAAATCTAAATCTAAATCTACGCAATAACTAGATCTAGGCGTAGACGCTAAGATATAGATTTAGACTCTAACTTCTCTAAAATCAATTCCAAGAATAAATTTCTATATTAGGACTAAACTATTTCAAGACTTATTTATTTTATACAAAATCTTTGTTTGGAACTGGCTAATTTGGGATAAAAAATTAATTTGAAAGAATAGGCATATTCGCGTAAGTTAAGATTTTAAAATACGTGTTTCATTCTCCGTATTTTATAATTTTTATACATTAAACCACGCAGGTGGTGCGGGTTCGAGACACAGCAAGTCAACTTGGTTAATGTATTCTTTTTAATTATGCTCGGGCTAAACTTAAAAAAAAAAATTCTTTTAGGAATCTAGATCTAGATCTAGATTGTCGGGTGTCCGATAGGGCACTTCCCGGCGCCGCAGGCGCTTCAAATTTGGCATGATCTTGCCTTGGTGCGACAGAACACGGGGGCCGGTTGGCCGAAAAGTCTACGATGTGGGGGTCAAAACTGACCTCGACTGACCGGTACCTTATATGAGCTATAAATCGAAAAAAAATGTCCACGGAGGAACCTCTTCATAACTCTTGAGGTCGTAGACCGACCTTCGGGCGAATTAATTAAGCATTCAAATTCTCAATGTTTTCGAAAGCCTAAGCGAAGCTGGGCAGCATGCCTAGTTTAATCTATATTCTTTAATCAGTACTTATAATAAAGACTGTTAGCAGTATAAAATGAATGTCAGCAGTATAAAATGAATGTCAGCAGTATAAAATGAATGTCAGCAGTATAAAATCGTCCTACCTCCTAGTGGGTATCTCATGACACGTGACATACAGGGACCTTTGCACTTGGTGACCTGAGACTTGGCCCAGCCGTTGATGCGGCCGTTGGGGGGACAGGCCGTATTCTGCCAGGAACCGTAGGCACCACTGCTGCACTCGTAGCAGTCGAATGGTGGCTGAGGTGGTGGGTTGGTGGTGGTGCGGGTGGTTTTGGTGGTGGTGGGGGTGGTTGTTGTGGTGGTGGGGGTGGTTGTTGTGGTGGTGGGTGTGGTTGTTGTTGTGGTGGGGGTGGTTGATGTTGTGGTGGGGGTGGTGGAGGTGGTGGTGGAGGTGGTTGTTGTCGTAGGTTCAGGGGTGGTGGGGTAGGTTGTTGTTGTAGGTTCAGGGGTGGTGGAGGTGGTTGTTGTAAGTTCAGGGGTGGTGGGGTAGGTTGTTGTTGTAGGTTTAGGGGTGGTGGAGGTGGTTGTTGTTGTAGGTTCAGGAGTGGTGGAGGTGGTTGTTGTTGGATATTCAGAGGTGGTGGGGGTGGTTGTTGTAGTAGGTTCAGGGGTGGTGGGGTATGTGGTAATCTCTGATGCTGTGGTTGTTTCTGTGGTGGTTGTGGTGGTCTCTGGATATCTTGACGTCAGCTCAGAAACTGGTGGTGCTGGGGAGGTGGAGGTGGTGGTAGATACAGCTCTTGTGGTGTATAATTCTTGAGTTGTTGTGACGTCATCAGCTGCTTTTGTGGTATATGAATCTTGGGTGGTTGTGACGTCATCTACAGCTTTCGTGGTATATGAATCTTGAGTAGTTGTGATGTCATCGGCTGCTTTTGTGGTATATGAATCTTGAGTGATTGTGACGTCATCAGCGGCTTTTGTGGTATATGAATCTTGGGTGGTTGTGACGTCATCAGCGGCTTTAGTGGTATATGATTCTTGGGTGGTTGTGACGTCATCCACAGCTTTTGTGGTATATGAATCTTGAGTAGTTGTGACGTCATATGCGACTTTAGTGGTGTATGATTCTTGGGTGGTTGTGACGTCATCAGCAGCTTTAGTGGTATATGATTCTTGGGTGGTTGTGATGTCATCGGCTGCTTTTGTGGTATATGAATCTTGAGTGATTGTGACGTCATCAGCGGCTTTTGTGGTATATGAATCTTGGGTGGTTGTGACGTCATCAGCGGCTTTAGTGGTATATGATTCTTGGGTGGTTGTGACGTCATCCACAGCTTTTGTGGTATATGAATCTTGAGTAGTTGTGACGTCATATGCGACTTTAGTGGTGTATGATTCTTGGGTGGTTGTGACGTCATCAGCAGCTTTAGTGGTATATGATTCTTGGGTGGTTGTGCCGTCATCCACAGCTTTTGTGGTATATGAATCTTGAGTAGTTGTGACGTCATCAGCGGCTTTAGTGGTATATGATTCTTGGGTTGTTGTGACGTCATCCACAGCTTTTGTGGTATATGAAATTTGAGTAGTTGTGACGTCATCAGCGGATTTTTTGGTATATGAATCTTGAGTAGTTGTGACGTCATCAGCGGCTTTTGTGGTATATGAATCTTGGCTGGTTGTGACGTCATCCACAGCTTTTGTGGTATATGAATCTTGAGTAGTTGTGACGTCATCAGCGGCTCTTGTGGTATATGAATCTTGAGTAGTTGTGACGTCATCAACGGCTTTAGTGGTATATGATTCTTGGGTTGTTGTGGCGTCATCCACAGCTTTTGTGGTATATGATTCTTGGGTGGTTGTGACGTCATCAGCGGCTTTTGTGGTATATGACTCTTGGGTGGTTGTGACGTCATCCACAGCTTTTGTGGTATATGAATCTTGAGTAGTTGTGACGTCATCAGCGGCTTTAGTGGTATATGATTCTTGGGTGGTTGTGACGTCATCTACAGCTTTTGTGGTATATGATTCTTGGGTGGTTGTGACGTCATCCACAGCTTTTGTGGTGTATGATTCTTGAGTTGTTGTGACGTCATCTACAGCTTTTGTGGTATATGAATCTTGAGTAGTTGTGACGTCATCCACAGCTTTTGTAGTATATGATTCTTGGGTGGTTGTGACGTCATCAGCGGCGTTTGTGGTATATGACTCTTGGGTGGTTGTGACGTCATCCACAGCTTTTGTGGTATATGAATCTTGAGTAGTTGTGACGTCATCAGCGGCTTTAGTGGTATATGATTCTTGGGTTGTTGTGACGTCATCCACAGCTTTTGTGGTATATGAATCTTGAGTAGTTGTGACGTCATCAGCGGATTTTGTGGTATATGAATCTTGAGTAGTTGTGACGTCATCAGCGGCTTTTGTGGTATATGAATCTTGGCTGGTTGTGACGTCATCCACAGCTTTTGTGGTATATGAATCTTGAGTAGTTGTGACGTCATCAGCGGCTCTTGTGGTATATGAATCTTGAGTAGTTGTGACGTCGTCAACGGCTTTAGTGGTATATGATTCTTGGGTTGTTGTGGCGTCATTCACAGCTTTTGTGGTATATGATTCTTGGGTGGTTGTGACGTCATCAGCGGCTTTTGTGGTATATGACTCTTGGGTGGTTGTGACGTCATCCACAGCTTTTGTGGTATATGAATCTTGAGTAGTTGTGACGTCATCAGCGGCTTTAGTGGTATATGATTCTTGGGTGGTTGTGACGTCATCTACAGCTTTTGTGGTATATGATTCTTGGGTGGTTGTGACGTCATCCACAGCTTTTGTGGTGTATGATTCTTGAGTTGTTGTGACGTCATCTACAGCTTTTGTGGTATATGAATCTTGAGTAGTTGTGGCGTCATCCACAGCTTTTGTGGTATATGATTCTTGTGTGGTTGTGACGTCATCAGCGGCTTTTGTGGTATATGAATCTTGAGTAGTTGTGACGTCATCAGCGGCTCTTGTGGTATATGAATCTTGAGTAGTTGTGACGTCATCAGCGGCTTTAGTGGTATATGAATCTTGGCTGGTTGTGACGTCATCCACAGCTTTTGTGGTATATGAATCTTGAGTAGTTGTGACGTCATCAGCGGCTTTTGTGGTATATGACTCTCGGGTGGTTGTGACGTCATCCACAGCTTTTGTGGTATATGATTCTTGTGTGGTTGTGACGTCATCAGCGGCTTTAGTGGTATATGAATCTTGGCTGGTTGTGACGTCATCCACAGCTTTTGTGGTATATGAATCTTGAGTAGTTGTGACGTCATCAGCTGCTTTAGTTGTGTATGATTCTTGGGTGGTTGTGACGTCATCTACAGCTTTTGTGGTATAAGAATCTTGGGTGGTTGTGGCGTCAACTGTTGTTGTTGTGCTGTCAACCGGGTAGGGTGTGGTGGTGTTAGAGAGCGGGCAGACGGCGTCCTTGTACGGCTTGAACACGGCATCCATGACGCCCGAGAGAACGACGCCATCTTGGGCAGAGCAGAGCCTGCTCGCAGCACCAACGACACAATCTTTGTAGCCGTCCGGCAGCCTGGGGAACGACAACAACATTGCTTGATATACTCAGGTTGGTCAAGGAGGTGTACAGACAATGTATAGGTGGACTAGTGTAGTCTTTATTATAAGCTTTTATTTAGTTCGCAACGACTGTTTGTTTGTTGGTTGGTTTGTGGCAAATCTTGTGAAGTAAAGTAAAGCACACACACAGGCTAAAACGTTGTATGTATGCATATATAGATATACATACATACATGAGTCATATATATATGTATATATATATATATATATATATATATATATATATATATATATATATATATATATATATATATATATACATACATACATATAAATATGACTCTTTTATATAGAAATGAGTTTTGTATCTAAATGTATCTATGACACTCACGTGCAAAGGTCAGTGGGGTCAACACGTGATGGAATGGCCGTGGCGCAGTAGTTGAGTTCAGATACCAGCTGGGCGTTGGACAGGCAGGGCAGGAAGTTGACGAAATCTGGAACAGGAGGGACAATTTTAGGACTATGTGTGGCAGGACGATTTAGGACTTTGTGTGTTAGGACAATTTAGGACATTTTGTGTTGGGACATTTTAGGACTTTGTGATGCAGCAAGACAATATATGACTCACTGATGTGGTAGGAGAATTTAGGACAGTTTCAGTTGGTAATGTTGAGATTACATTGTTGATATCAATATACTTAAAGATAAACGCGGAAGAAGCGTAACCTGACGGTCTTGAGGTAGAGGCCGAATATTACATAAGAACCCCCACACACGTGTAAAGCCTAGGTACTCACTCTGGAATCCAGTGGGAGAACACAGGTAAACAAAAGCTCCACCAAACACCTTGAAGGTGACGGTCACGAGTGAGTTACATCCCGCCAGGTAAGGCTCTGTGCAGTTCTGGAAGTTTCCAGAAATCCTGGAGAGGGTGAGAGAGAAGAAACGGTTACATCAATTTACGTTTCTCGCATGCATAAAATGTTAGTGACTCTTATACATACATACATATACATATATATATACATATATATATATATATTTTTATATATATATATATATATATATATATATATATATATACATATACATATACATATACATATATATATATATATATATATATATATATATATATATATATATATATATATATATATATATATATATTTATATATATATATATATGTATATATATACATATATTATGTATATAGTCTATATATATATATAAAGCCTACAATATGTATTATCAGGGAGCCTATTCTGGTCTAACTTACTGGCAAAATCTCCCCTGTGTCGCCTCTGGCATTGACTGGAACTGTGAGTCCATTAACAGGCTGAAGGTGTCCTGCATGGCACCTTGTAGGCACGAGTAGGCATCAGGCAGGTAGGGGCACGGCTCACCTGTTGTGTGGGGTAGGGAGGTGTTCGGTTAGTGGTGTCATATAAATGGTGTACTGTTGGTGGTGTCATATAGATGGTGTACAGTTAGTGGTGTCATATAGGTAGGTGTTCAATTAATGGTGTCATATAAGTAGGTGTTCAATTAATGGTGTCATATAAGTAGGTGTTCAATTAATGGTGTCATATAGGTAGGTGTTCAATTAATGGTGTCATATAGGTAGGTGTTCACTAAATGGTGTCATATAGCTAGGTGTTCAATTAATGGTGTCATATAGGTAGGTGTTTAATTACTGGTGTCATTTAGGTGGTGTACAGTTAGTGGTGTCATATAGCTAGTTGTTCACTTAATGGTGTCATATAGGTAGGTGTTCAATTAATGGTGTCATTTAGCTAGGTGTTCAATTAATGGTGTCATATAGGTAGGTGTTCAATTAATGGTGTCATTTAGTTGGTGTACAGTTAGTGGTGTCATATAGCTAGTTGTTCACTTAATGGTGTCATATAGGTAGGTGTTCACTTAATGGTGTTATATAGGTAGGTGTACACGTAGTGATATATGTGAGGTGGGAGGGACACCGTATAACAAACTGACCTGCGATTGTCGAGTCGTTGCCGACGGCGGCCTCTGTGGTTGTGTTGATGATGTGAGGTGTTAGGTGTGAGGTGGGAGGTGTGAGGTGGTAGATGTGAAGTGGGAGGTGTGAGGTGGTAGGTGTGAGGTGTGAGATGTGAGGTGGTAGGGACACCGTCTACCCTTCTTACCTGCTATTGTCGAGTCGTTGTTGACGGCGGCCTCGGTGGTTGTGTTGATGATGGACCAGATGGTGGTGAAGCTGTCGTAGGTGCTGGAACTCTGTGTGGGCGGGACCGTAGCACCGTGCACTGCTGGAATAGAAGAGACGGACAGGTCAGAATCTTTAGGTCAGTAAGTTATTGGTACTAGAACTATGGATGGGGGGTGGGGGGGGGGGGAGGAGGGTGGCACCGTACGCTGCTGGAATAGAAGAGACGGACTGGTCAGAATCTTCAGGTCAGTAGGTCAGTGGTACTAGAACTCTATGGGTGGGGGAGGGGGAGGGTGGCACTATACAAGACTGGAACTGAAGAAATCTGCAGAAGGTCTATAATTCAGTGATTCTCAACACTGTTCACCATGGACCCAAACTGCGACACAGATACTGTCCCCACTTATCGACCCCTGTATGCTTAGATTATAGTGGCCTTTGCAGGTACAAAAAGAAGAAACGAAACAATTTATTTTAAAGACAGGCTGCTGTGTATTGAATATCTTTATAACATAATTTGCCTTAGCGACTTGATAATATAATGGGTGTTGTATAGTCATCTAACTGCCCATATGCTTGGTCAGCTATATGCCAATATGTATATACAGCAAACTTTCTTTCTGTTATTGATTTCCTTTAGCTAGAAGTTACTATACACGGGACTTAAAAGTTAACACATAAGTTCATTTGTTTGTCTGTAGAGCTGCGAGGGTTAGGATTAAGATCAGGACCAAGGATAGGATCAAGATTAGGATCAAGATTAGGATCAAGATTAGGATCAAGACTAACGTGCGACCAAGAATAGGATTAACAAGAGCAGATCTAAGGCTGTATTATTCTAGTACATTCTATCAGGCTTCATTTCATCCTGCTTTTTTTGGCTTAACCCCCCCCCTTTTCAAATTGTCGTTATAAATGTGTCATGTAATGGGCTTAACGTAGGTTAGTTGAGCTTAGATACTTTATAATTCTTTACCCCGAGCTTAGCCTTGCTGTGGTTAGATCCTATATCATTGTTAACCCTAGCTTAACGTTGTTGTGCTTAGATCCTATATAATTCTTCACTTGGGGATTTAATTACACAGCACGATCGTACACTCCCCCCCCCCTTCAACAAACTAACAATAAGAAAACAGTATGGATTTAAAAAGCGGTAATTGTATTAATTTTCTTATGAATATACGCCGAAACATTTTCAAAGCAATTAATCTTCAATTTATAGCATTAAACAGGCATTTACCTGAAGTCTAGTTCATGTTATGAACTATAGTTTGATTGTACGTTATATCTATCTATTAGTACCACAAGACATATCACATACTAACCAAATTATAGTGATGTATTTAACTTTAGCCCTAACCATCAAGTCTAGTTCATTTTATAAACTAGTTTTTTAAAATTTATTTTTAACCTCCATATAATAATTATCTATACAACACTGATAATACGTTCAGTATATTGCTTGGCATCTCTACACATAACTAATACTAACCAAATTATAGCAATATATTTTAACTATAGCCCTAACCTTAAAGCCTGCTATTATTTTTTGGTTTCGGTAAAGAAAATGTCGGACCTCTATATACATCACTAGCGAAAACATTCAGTATTTGGTATGATTGGTATCTAATTATAACTAACACGAACCAAATTATAGCAAACATGTAACTACAGACCTAAACCACGGTTTTGTAAAGCAAGGCCATTGACCCGAGAACTGTTTTCTCGTTTTAATTAGAAACCACAGGAGTGGAGACACTGAACTAATTAATTAGGGAAGTATTAATTAGAGCCTAGTCTAAAAAAAAAACTTCCTGGAATCCTGTTATAATATTTTTAAAATGTTACCTGGAACTGATGTTTAATTAAATGCTGTGAGGAAATCTAAAAATAAACTGTCTCTAAGTTAACCGTATCTAATTTAACTGTATGTAATTTAAGGCGTGCAAATGAAAACACAGAAAGCACAGAAAATAGATCTAAAACTATTTATAAGAAATGTTATTGGGGCCCTAACAGGAAGTTACAGCTGACATTGTTTTGATGGGGGTAGGGAGGCGGTGGTGTCAACGTCAAGGAAGTTACGTAAATGCGAGTTATTTTTAGATCGTCTATTTTTAGAGTTGGGTATGTAAGAATGTGGCGTGTTTCCCTGGTTTTCCCGGCTGTGACGTCAAAATAATCAACCTGATGGTTTTAGGCGCGAATAATTGTATTCGAAACACACGCTGTAATGAGATTACTCGCGAAGTAACTTCATCAATTATGCAGACTAATTAATTAGCGGACATTGAAGCCATGGAAGGCACGGAGCCAGGATTCTGTTTCAAGTTGTGACATGTTAAAATAGATCTATTCCGTTAGCCGGACCCATGCTATGATCCCAATAGCGCAGAGTAAGAAATACGCAGCCAATCATGAATATTAACTTGAGCTAACTTGAGCTTGAACCTAACTCTAGCTCTGAAGTTAAAGGTGAAACTGATTGGGGTGTAATTGTTTTACAGTCATTAATAAGAAAACGTTTACACAAATGATGATGATGATGATGATAATAATAATAATGATAATAATAATAATAATAATAACAATAATAATAATAGTAATATAAATAATAATAAAAATAATAATAGTAATAATAGTTGAGCATTATTATTATAATATTAATAAAAATAATAACAATATTAATAATAATAATTATTATTATTACACGAAAGCATTAATTGACATCAAATATCAGCTGACATCATTTGACATCAGATACTACATGACATCATTTAACATCATATATCACTCAGTTCGGCAATAAAAGAGATAATTATGATATTTACTTAAGTACTTGAATAGTTTTATAAGATACGATGCATAAGAAACTGACTATTGTAAATCAAGCCGCGTGGCTAATTAATTATGCAAGCCTAAAAGAGTTATAATTACAGATAAAGAAATATTTCTAACAATATTAGCCGAGCGTTAATTGAAAAAATATTGACTATATTAAAATTTAGCGCTCATATATTTACTTTTTTGTACTTAAAAAAAATGTTTCTGTCGAAACCAAACACAATATTCGATATATATATATATATATATATATATATATATATATATATATATATATATATATATATATATATATATATATATATATAAATTGGTAAAATCGCCATACATCGGAGGCCTTGTGTCTATACATTGTTTATTTATAACCGTGTGTCTATACATTGTTTATTTATAACTCACCCGAGTAGAGCAGGCAGCACGGGATGAGCGCTAGAATGATCTGCATGTTCGCTGTGAGTACCACGTTGGTGCTCTACTAAACTATACTTCTACTGGATGGTGAAACTATACTTTCTGCTTCACACAGTCGGCAAGTATTATCCAAGTATCGGCTTGTGGTAAGTTTGAAAGTATTCTTCAGTAACTCTCTCGTATCAACCTTAGCTCCTGAGCTGAGCGTCCACATGGATTGAGCTACAAGCCCGAGTATCAGGCTTATATAACCCAAACCCGATCCGTTTCGATCCCTCTACCCCCACGTATGACAAACTCCTAACCCCCACCCCCCTGTCGTCTAAACAGTGACATCATACCTGTATTATTTCCATTCAAAAATAATTTCGGCCTCGATCGCATATATTATCCGCTATTTGTGTCGTCAAGATTTAGTTCCGTTATCGCCACGGCGGTGGGGGAGGGAGGGAAGGGGGGGGGGTGTAAGAAAGGACAACTCTTGATGGTTTGCGCCGACACGAAGCGCTGTAAAGGACTATAACTCACACAGGTAAAGGTGGCGTAACGCCCACGCAGTTGTGCGTAATTTAGACACGGGGAATTCGTTAATTCGAGACCTCATTAATTTGACACCTCCCTAAATTTGACACCCGCTGTTAAATATCACCCACTTACTAATCAACTACTTTTTTTTAAACAACGATACAGCCAAGAAATTAGATTTACGATGTTATTTTAAAGATATGATTTTTAATTTTGATAGTTGATTAATGAAACGATTTAATTAAGCTAGTTCAGGCTTGGCTTCCTAGAAAGTCTACACGGGCTGTCTAGGATGTCTACTTTGTCTATCTCTTTTTATTAAATAATGTTTCTTTAAGCATTTTAAAAGCAGCTCATTATTAATTTTAAGACAATATATTCCACATTCTGTAAAAAAAAAATATTCGTTATCCATTACAAGATAATATTTTTCAGACGTTTAAAGAAAATTTAGTAAATTGTTTTAAGATATTTTCCTCATATTTTAAAACAAATTTTTGTCATTCATTTTAATATAATATTTTCCCACACATTGTAAAAATTGTTCATCATCAGTTTTAAGATATTTTCCCTGAATTTTCTTTACGTGTTAAATTTTATACAGCTCTATTTTAGTCTACTAAATGCCGTTAAAAAAAATCAATATTTATGAACACAGTTAACAAGTTAAAAACTAAATCAGAATCACTGAACACACAAAAAAGTTTAAAAAAAAAATCATAGTTCGTGAACTCAAAAAAAAGTGTTAAAAAATTGAGCTTCGACATTAGGCTATAGTATTATAGAGCAGAGAATAGCAAAAACACACGGAAACTTAGTTTCATTCTTCTTTTGTAAAACTTTGTATATAAAGTTTTGAGTTAGCCCTATACATCACTAAAAGCTATAATTGTTTTGGTAGACTATTATCGATGTACCAATAACTGTAAGTCTAGAATGAACTTAGCGGCATTAAAGGTGTTTGTTATTTGAGTTCGTGTCCATAGAAATGACGTCATCAAATTGTGCGTACAATGTCTCAAGTTGGTTGTTGATCTAGGTGCAATGACACGACCGTGCTATAATAACTGGAGATAAAAGAAGAAGAATCTAGAGTTAAGTGCCCTTCTTATCCGGGTACGGCTAGCCTAATAAAACCTTTCTGTGTGTGGAGTGGGAGAGGGGTGGGGGGTCTTCATAAGTAGGGCATACGGGTATTTCTTCAGATAGAGTAATTATAATAGGAAATGACTGCCGGTGCATTGGGCGTGGGGAGGGGGAGCATAACATGTTGTTATTCTTTTGTTTCAAAATATGGGTTGGGAGAAAGGAATGAAACGAAGTTTTATGGAAGATTTTTTTTTACGGATGTTAACAAAATAACAAAACAAGATTGTGAAGTATTTATATGATGTGTGTGTGTGTGTGTATGTGGGGAGGGGTGTAATTTGTATCGACATTCTTTGACTGAATAAAAGACCAGGGTTTCTTTCAGAAAGTTTTTTCCAGGGGGTTGGGTGGTAAGGATGGCACTTGAAACTTTTGGGGGTGGGGGGAGGGAGGGTGACAAAGTTTAAAGTATATATTTTTCTATATAAATATTTATTTGTTTCTTTTCGTCAAAGGGGGGGGGGGGCACGTACCCTAGAGAAGGGCAAAGGAGTGTCTCCTCCGCACCCCACTCCCCTCGGAGAAGTGCTTGAAAACTCTTTAAAAGAGCAATGTTATATGCGCAACTTTTGGTTGTAGTGAAATCAGTGTTCTCTATATTCACACTGGAAATAAAAATTCAACTTTATACGCCAGTTGCAAATGACTGAAAACTAAAATATAATTATACACAAGGGCGGGCTGGGTGCATCCAAGCGCCTCAGGAAAGTTTTAAAAGCCCCTCCCATCACCCCCAACCGGCCAGAATGAATTCATCATCTTGCATTTTTCTCCGCCAAAACTTGAATCTTACGCCTTGGTATAAAGTAATGGTGAAATACCAACAATTTAAATTTAAAAAATCAGCACTAATAGGTCTATCACAACAACGTCCCCGGGGCCATCGGGATTTTCCCGGTAGAACGGCTGGCCAGTCCACCCCTGAATATACACCTATATACAAAACGCCGTTTGTTTACCTGACCCCTGACCCCTGAACCCTGACCCCAAACACGGATATGCACCTCTTACGCCTACTCCAAGTTTTATTGTGAAACATAACCGACGTTTACGGCCTAGGCGCATCATAGCCTCACTCCTGTCAGCCGTTTGTAGTACGATCACGTAGGCAGTTGGCGGACAGTTGCATGATGGATGGGTACTGGACGTGCTGAGTCTCCGGCTTGAGCTGAGACATGGACTGGGTTGGACATGGAGCTAATTTAACGCTCATCAACGTGTGTCACGGGGTGCATCCGTGCGTGTCAGACATGACGTCATCTCGGTGTGGTTCTATTCCCATGTTTTCGTATTTCGCGATATCGCAATTCGCGTGTTTTCTTCATTGACGCGCCTATGTGTTTGTTTTACACCAAACAACGAAATGTTATGGGGCGGAGAGGATGGGCGGTAGAGCTTCTGACTGCTAACATGAAAGTCTTGAGTTCGGATCCCTGAGTCCACCCAGCTCGTACAGGTACCTACCTCAATATAAGAAAAGTAAAAGCGGGTGTGCATTGAACTAACCACACTATCTCCTTATTAGCAGAAGATAACGAACAGATGAACTCTATGTCACCTGCACTAAGAACCGCCAAGTTGGAAAAAGGAACATTACTTCTTAAACGAACTATAGCGATATTTTACATACGTATATAAAATGATTTATATTTGAATTATATTTGCGGAAAATAATAATTAAAAATCAAAACAAAACGCTTTTCGATTATATATATATATATATATATATATATATATATATATATATATATATATATATATATATATATATATATATATCCTATACACTTATAGTCGCGTGTACTGATAGCTATAATCGATAGATTACTGTACTGATGTATTTTTAGTAAGGATCGTTGTAAACAATATTCATCATGTTTAATGGTTTCCTTGTATTACCTGACTTAGACACTGACTCAAATCATTACTCAACTGTTGATTTGAACTTGAATTCATTGTGACAAATGGCATAGATTAAATAGACGGCATTGATTGAGTTGTTTTTTGAAGACAAAATAAAGTGATAGATTTTAGCATTCTTTTCTTATGACGAATGTATTGCCTTCCTCTTAAATTGTCAGCATTTGCAGTAGAAGGAAGTTGTGATGAAAGGCAGTCAGTATTCGTGGTAAAAAGGTGTCAGTATTCGTGGTAAAAAGGTGTCAGTATTCGTGGTAAAAAGGTGTCAGTATTCGTGGTAAAAAGGTGTCAATATTCGTGGTAAAAAGGTGTCAGTATTCGTGGTAAAAAGGTGTCAGTATTCGTGGGAAAATGGCGTCTGTATTTGTGGTGAAAGGTGTCAGTATTTGTAGTGAAAAGGCGTTAGTATTTGTGGTGAAAGGTGTCAGTATTACTGGATTATTGGTGAAAAGGTGTCAGTATTTTTGTTAAAAATGTGTCTGTATAAGTATTAAAATGGTGTCGTTATTGGTGTTGAAAAGGTGTACACAACACCAACCACTAACCACCTCGAGGTGTCTGACAACACTGACACCACCACTCATTAAACACACCATCCCAGCCATACAAATCCTCATCCCAGCTAGTAGCTACAGCTATCAGGAGACAACCCTAATCACGAGATGGGGGTAACTCATGTATACCCACAGGCGGGGGCTTAAGCTTGCATGCTTATGTACAACTCTAAAAAGAAATTTATGCTAATTAAATTGTTTCTTTCTGATTGAAATAATATTTTGCTTCACTGTTTGCAAATTGAAAACCATTTGTTTTATATTTGACACAGATATAGATAATAAGGGCAGATATAACAAAGCTTAACGCTAGGGCTGCAGAGTTGTGTAAAATATGGTTGGTAAGTTTTAGTTTGAAACTTGATTTTTTGAATGAGTTTAACGTTTTGGGGAGTAGTTTTTGTTATAAGTATTTTAGTTTTAAAATATTTATATTTTATTCAGCTTGATTTTATGTTCTTTACATATTTAATGTGAAAATTATATCAACCCGGTTTTAACGACGCACAAACGCGCTACAAACTAAGTCAAGAAAGATGGGTTACCACTAGAGACCGCACAAGAAAGATGGGTTACCACTGGGGACAGTTGGAGAAACTAGCACAAGAAAGATGGGTTACCACTGGGGACAGTTGGAGAAACTAGCACAAGAAAGATGGGTTAAATTGGGAAAGTTGGAGAAACTAGCACAAGAAAGATGGGTTACCACTGGGGACAGTTGGAGAAACTAGGTTAAGAAAGATGGGTTACCACTGGGGACAGTTGGAGAAACTAGCACAAGAAAGATGGGTTACCACTGGGGACAGTTGGAGAAACTAGGTTAAGAAAGATGGGTTACCACTGGGGACAGTTGGAGAAACTAGCACAAGAAAGATGGGTTACCACTGGGTACAGTTGGAGAAACTAGCACAAGAAAGATGGGTTACCACTGGGGACAGTTAGAGAAACTAGCACAAGAAAGATGGGTTACCACTGGGGACAGTTAGAGAAACTAGCACAAGAAAGATAGTTTACCACTGGGGACAGTTGGAGAAACTAGGTTAAGAAAGATGGGTTACCACTGG